TGTGCGGCTGACTTAATTTATGCTGATTAATCTGTGTGGCTCATAAACACATTCCTCCCAGTGCTCACTGCTTTGCTAAACAGCAGGATCCTTAACCGCACATATCATGTTCCATTTTCAGGCATTTGTTTTTTAATTTTTCATACAAATACACACACAGTACCTCAGAGTCAGGCATGCATGTTGTTTTGTGTGAGACAGAGAGGGGAAAAAAATCCTGTTTGTATGCCGTTGCCAGGTAGAGCTCTGTAGGGATTTGGTTATGAGTGTGTGAGCGTGCATGTATGTGTGTATTTTGGAGAAATTACTATGGGAGGCTGTGTATTTACCCTGCATGGCAAAAAATCATTTTGTTGACTGTGTGGAAAATCAGTGACATGTCTCTTTCTCTCTGCCCGGCTCTGCGAAGGAAGCCCACAGGCGGCCCACGTGCTCCACATGGTGGCGCTCTGAGTCAACACCAAATCTCCCTTTAATGTCCCTGACACTTGCTCCTGTTCTCACCTGATTCTCTTCTACTTCTCTTTCCATCGCCACCTCTTATGTCCTCTTGTGCTTCTCTGTGTTTTCTGTTGACAGAGGCTGAATGTCACACCATCTGCCATGCCGTGTTGCTGTGTCGGAGTCTACGAGGAGGGTGTAATGTTTTTTATCAGCGCTGCTCCTGGCATGGATTGTGGCCTGGCTTGGCTTGGCTGCACTTGCACTCAGCAGGCACACACACGCACACATACCACACACACACACACACACACACACAAACACACACACACACACACACTCAGTGTACATGAGCATATGAGTTGGGTGATTTTTTTAATTTAACTCCGAGCAGGATGATTTGCATTCAGCCAAACTGATGGAGGGAAGTGGACGGGGGTGGATGGAGAGAGAGAAAAAGAAAACCAGAGTGAGAGTCGGTTAATTCTGTCTGAGCTGGAAGCCTCGGCCCCCAGTCAGAACATGGGGGCTTGTCTCTTCTTGTTCCAGAGAGCGCAGTGAAATGCCCTGTGGAGGAGACGCATGGGCAGCAACCAAAGGAAAGTCGGTGTGATCAGCACTCACATGCCTGTGTCAGGGGGCGGGGGGGATTTTTAATAAGGGTATTCAAATGTGTTTGTGTATGTGATTTGGATGGTGTCTGTCTGTGTGTGTGTGTGTGTGTGCAGTTAGAAAAGAAGGAGTGTAGATTGGCTCTGATTAGACTCTGCATTGCAAACACACACACATAGCCTACACACAGGGTTATTTTTAGCCACTGTTGCACTCTTCCCCCCCCCCTGTGCTCTGTCTCTCTCAGCACAGACCCCCCCCCCCCCCTTTCCCTTCCCGCCACAGTGAGGAGAAGGACAGCGATTCATCAGGATTTTTTGGGGACAAATGTCTTCTTTCCACTGCCTTTTTTTGCTGTCAAATCGCCGCAGGAGCGAGGTGTTGGAGAAGGAGACAACAGGGGACAGAGATGCAGGTTCATAAAGATCAGGAAACAGGAAAATCAATCCTGTCTTTCTGACATCTACCCTCCTCTTAGTCCCATTTTCTCCCTTCTAAACTGCCTACTACACACACTAAGATATTGATATGTGTGTGTGTGTCTTCCAAAGCGCCTCTCATTGTAGGCTATTGAACAGTGACCATAAATGTCCCAGTATAATCAATCACAAACCTGTTCTCGCACTGCACATCCACTAGATATATATAGCATCCATCACTCTCTTGGAGATTCTTAAAAGACATTGGAGCGACGTTATTATTCTGCTAATTCACACCTAATATCTGCATATTTTCACCTTGCACCGTATTGATCGACCATAGTGAGAACCCCCCCGAGGGTGATCCTGTTTGTGCAGTAAATGAGGCAATTTCTATTTCAGCCATACCCTCACCTTCCTCATGTAACATGATGTACACTGTCGATATCATCTCGACATGTCGCTGTTGATCGATATGTTTTTGTGCCCCCATTGATCCATGCCTCAGTATTGCTAAAATTAACCGGTACGGCGGCTTTATCGATGACTTCATTTTACATCTCGCTCGTCACGTGGTCAGGGCACATGCAAGTATACATGTAGGGTAAGCATATGTGGTGCCAGTGACAGCTTCCCCAGGGGCACAGAGGAACTGTCGTCCCTTCTGTTTGACTTGTAGGAACTGTTTGCCACAGTTGCACTGCAGGGCTGATATATATACGACTGCATCCCTGCTTTAAAACACACGCTGACCTTCTCTGTGTGACGGAAAATATGTATACAGAGCAAGAATGATGAAATACAAAATGCAAATAATATCATGAGAAGAAATACAAGTGTGAGATAATATGGCTGGAGGACATGAGAATTATACTCAAGGCACAGAACATGCAGTTACTAACAACGTGAGAGCAATTAAATCGTCATTAAAATTATGTAACATTAATTAGAAATTACTGTGAGCAGCCACTCTGAAGCAAATTAGTACTTATACAACAGGTTGTTATGTATTCAGTAGTAGTATTACGTTGTATGAGAAATGTGTAAGAAAGGGCGGTGCAATTATTTATTGACTGATTTTAAAGACTTTTATTTATTTATTTATTTATTTGATCAAGGTCTTTTTTCTTTTCAAATATAAAAAAGCAGACAACCTGAACACAGAACAATTAAATCCAATCTCTGTATATCTTCCAAATGCTGGACCATCAGTAAGTTTACATACAGCTTGCAATCATACAAATAAAAAGATAAATAAAAAATTTAGGTAAACATATATATTCACAATTTCACACCTACATAAATAAATGCCAGACAGAGAAAAGTGAAATGCAGATAGCATAAATTAAGAGGAAAAAAGATAAATAAATAAATAAAATAAAATAAAAATAAAATTGAATAAAATAAAATAAAATAAAATTAAATTAAATTAATAACTTAGGATAATATGACAAGTACACAAACACTAGAGTTACATAGATATGTTGGTAGCCCTCATACCAGGTGATATAAAATTTTCGCTCACAAAAAAGTACATCCCTTATGTCTTCGTATGCAGGACAGTAAAACAAAAAATTACCTTTGCATGAGGAACACTGTTGCTATAATATGTGGTGATGTTGTGATGGGTTGCAGGGGTGCTGCAGCCTATCCCAGCTGACATTGGGTGAGAGGCAGGGTTCACCCTGGACAGGTCACCAGACTATCACAGGGCTGACACATAGAGACAGACAACCATTCACACTCACATTCACACCTACGGACAATTTAGAGTCACCAGTTAACCTGCATGTCTTTGGACTGTGGGAGGAAGCTGGAGTACCTGGAGAAAACCCACGCTGACACGGGGAGAACACGCAAACTCACCTTTACACCCTGATGAAGACTCTCTAGTCAAAACGTGTTGGTTATCCATGTATTAATAAAGGATTTTTAACTACAGTCGGAGTGTCTCATATGCATTTTTGGACTGCCTGCTTTGTTTAAAGTCACATAAGGTTCCACACTATTGCTGTTCTTTATGAGACAGTAAGTTTGTTGTTTTTTGACCATGTTTCTCTAAACATGAGAAACATTTTAATCTCCTGAATATCAAAGTATCCAGTTCTAGAAAATAAATGACAAGTTGGTCAAATGAAATAAGGATTTCAACTCGCTAGCCCAGGGGTGACCATGGGTGATGTCCTAATTAAAATATTTTTCACAAGTCTCTGATCAGACGTCTTCACAAGTCAACCCCAAAGCAGAAACATTTGACATTTATGTTTGATGTCTGGAGGTTTCCATCCTGTATCTCCACTAACGACCAAAACAGAAGTAAATTTATGGACTCCCAAAAAGGATCAAATTGCCCTTTGATGCACAGTGTTACAGCTTTTATGTTCTCAGAAACCCCAAACACCAGACACAGGACACACACATGAATTATAGAGTTGTGTATGAGTGTAAAAGTCCCAATGTTCCAGCCGCTGACTGAGCTAGAACACTGACAGCTTCTTTAAATGTCATGTGCTCATCCAGCATCAAGCCAAGATATATGTACAGGTCAGTAAACCAAGCTTAAATGTAACTTTTAACTATAGCATTTATAAATAGTGGAGTAAAAAGTACAATATTTCCCTTTTAGAAGTTAAGCAAAGTGGCCTAACCCACAATTGTACTTAAGTGCAGTAGGCCTCCCTGAGTAAATACATCCAGGTGTCTGCATGTATCAGACACTTAAATTTAATGCATTTTAAGATCTTTTCAAGATAATTTTCAACCAAATTTATGATAGATTTTTGGACAAATCATTGTTTTCTTATTCAAGGATTGCCAGTAAGCAGTGATGTAGTAGTAGTTGATGAGGTGGGTGTAGCCTACTACTAGGTCAGGGGTCAGCGACCTTTACTATCAAAAAAAGAGAATTTTCTGCTGCGAAAACGTTTTATTAAAATAGTAACTTGCTCCAAGACGTGCTGCAACCTCTCCTCTTTTCTTGAAATGTAGTGTACAGACAATGTTACAGTAAGTCAGATATGGAAATATTGGGCTGTGATATAATGTTAAAACAAGACGAATGAAGCAAAGGATGAATTTTTCTAATAATTCCCAGAGGTGTTGTGACCTTGTTGCAAGAAAACTGATGTGATGTTTCCAAGTGAGTTTCTCATCGATCAAAATTCCAAGTAATCTTGAAGTAACTTCAGAAATTTCATCACCATCAATATATAAGTTTGCTAATTCATCCAGCAGTAGAAATTATAAATCTTCCCCGCAAATATCATTAAATTCAATTTTTCTTATCTTTCAGGTCTAAAATTTATTTAAGAAAAAATAAATTTATGACATTTTAAGTGCAGACACCCTGTTTATATGTTTCGTCATTTAAAAAATAGTTTATCTTAAATATAATTTTATAAGCTTCACAAGGGGTTAGCTGTCAACTCTTCCTCCGCCTCCTAATCAATTTATTGGTCAATAATTGATTGCATCTCCTCTGTCACCTGTGTGTTAGTGTGAATACTATTTTGACTTTGGTAACATTAGCCCGCAGGTGAGCTAGCATGACTTTAACTTAAGCTAACGTTGCCTTGGTAACTACAATTGAGCTAACGATTAATTAGCTTAACTTACAGCTAGTGAGTTAGCATGTGCGCATTAAGTTAGCTGTTCATGTTTTGACATTTTAGAAGCTAACAGTTCGGCCTTTAACGTTATGGCCCCAACAAAAACATTTAAACTGATATAGCGAAACTCGTTTGTCCACGGAAAAGACGTGTAAGTTGTAAATGTAACGGATAACGGCTCAACAGTGGTAACATTAGCAAGCTAACGTTAGCTTGTTAGCAGGCTAGCTAAACGTTAGCAGATTCCGGGAGCCGGAAGCTGAGGAGACAGGTGGAGCTGCGGACTATCAGGTGAGACTCAATTATTTAGAAAATGTGTTTTATTAGAAGCATAATCCAGTATAATTATTGTCCCAAGCTGTTTCCTCATAATAATGTTAATTTCCCAATAAACCAATTTCATCATAAAATACATTATGTAAAGAAAAATGAATTGGGTGCAGCTCTCTTAACTGGTTTTGGGTTATAAATATATATTTTACTCTGTAAATCTGTTAGATGCAGAAGGCCAGGTACCAGTAGCAGGGCAGAGACAAGAGCACAGAGGCAACAGGGTTTTCAGGTGAGTGCCACTGGGTTTCAACTTTAGTGATTACAAGTGTGCTATATTTAAGCTGATATGTTTTTAACATCTCCTTATGGAATACCACATCACTTTGGAAAGTAGCTTTTATCACATGAGTGCCACTTTACCTGCAGGGCTGCATTAGGTTGTAAAATGTGTGTTGCAGGCTGTAATGTTTCTGAAATGATGGGTTTTTTTTTTTAGCTCACCAGCTTAAAGAGGAAAAAGCATTAAACGCATGTTATTTTTTAAGAATTCTGCTCTATGTATTTCACCTCAGGGAACATTTTGATGCAATTTATTTTCTTGACAAGCTCTCAACATTGGCAAAACTGACTTTGGCATTAGTTTGAGCAGAGCTGCTGCAATTCTTTGTGCGTTGAGTTGCTTAAAGAAGTGCGTCACTGCTTGTAAGATGGTCTTTTCATGAAATTTGGCTGTCAATAGAAAGACACAAATACTTTTGAAATTGGTGCTGTATCATCAGAGAAAACAGACGAAAAAGGCTGTGGCATTAGCTTTTGCTGAAGAGGAAAAACATCTACAATTACCAGAATGCACTGTGCCGTTCTTGAGTAATGCTGTGTTCAAATGGGGTCACGTTTACTGTGTTCAGAGTCCATAAAGATGCCCCCCTGTTGTGGTATTGAGAACCTCATAAAAGGAAAAATTCTGAGAGCTCAGAGTTCACGACTTCCAATGACATTGACCGGACTCACTTGTTCCATTTCAGTGCAGCAAAATATAGCTCCCGTTGGTGGCTGACGTAATGTGAGCTAGGCTGTTTTGACACAGGAAACAATATGGTGGCCAGCAAGTAAAAGGGGCTGTGTAGGCCTATTGTCCATGGGACAGGTTTAAATCTCTGGTGGCCTTTACAGATGAAGGGTAAGATGTACTGTATGTTGGCTCCGATTAATTGGCCCTCATCACTTGACATGCAGTGTGTGCTGCTACGTTTCAGAAGTTAAACTCACTTTATCTCATGGTGCAGGTGCAGCTGTCGTGCCCTGAAAAATAGGCACTCAGGAATGCGTGCGGAACGCTCTAGCGTTGCTCAACAATGGATTTTAGGGTGCAAAAAACGCAGCATGTGTACAGCCCTATAAATTATCTTTAATCTCAGTTAATTAGTAGGTGAAAATATCATATCAAAACATTTAACATTGTGTATAAACATGCATGTATAATTCATGTTGCATAAAGCATCCTCTTTAGCTTACATTATGCCCTTCAGCCATTCTTGTGGTACTACTCTGCTTTACGCATCATCACACAAGGAGAACTGCAAAACACTCCACAGCATGCAGTCATTATTAGTAGTGCATTTTGGTCATTTTCCATGAGAACGTAATCATATACAAGAAAATGCCATCTCTGACTCAGGGCGTACTATTGCGTCTATAAAAATATATTTATTTCTAAGTGCTGAGGTCAAAATTATTCATTTATCCATCTTCAGGAACAAAATACTTTCTATTGCACTCTGGCATTTTAGATTTTGACTCTGAATAGAGCGTGACTATGAATAGGAAGTGCTTGTTTTGATGCATCAGAGTCAGAGTGGTGGACACAAAGAATGTAAATATCTCGTCAAATTAAGGTTAAATGTATATTACGCAGGATTTTTGTTCACTGTTTGCACATGCTTGCTAGTAAGAGTAAAAGCCAATTCCAGATTCACTCTCATTTGATGCTTTACCTTACGGGATTTATGTTTTCTCTGCAACGTGTTTCTTGGATGCGTGCTGCTTATGGTCTGGCAACTGGTTGCTGCCTTTTTAGAAATCCCTAGCCTCACCTGAGTGCTGCGAGGGGTACACGCCCATAAACTTCCTGTGAGCTTGTGAGCTCTTAGTGATGCCAAAAAACATAAATATACACATAAAAGGCAGAATGACCTGCTTCCCGTCACTATAATTCCCCACACAGAGTCATGTCACACAGATGATACAGGAAGAAAGTTGCCAAAATTGTGCTTGGTACATTTGCAAAAAGCCAGTGTAAACATGATCCGAACCAGAGCTAAAACAAGTCATGATATTTTTTTTTGCCACCTGCTGAATGATCCGTTGTTTTTCCCACTCTGACATTTTCCACACCCTCCTCCATTGTACAACAGCCAAGATATTCTGCAGCAAAGGTTGATGTGATTGATGGCACTGCGTTAAGATGAGTGGAACTTGTCATTCACCTCCATAGGTCATTATTGCCACAGTAGACAGCAGGGACTTCAGTGAGATGAGATAGCATCACCTCAGTCGTTTTGTTACCATTAACACTTAAATCGAAGCCCTTTAGAGTTTGTGTTTTTTACAGGGTCCAAGTAGTAGTAAGCTCTTGGTGTCATAGTGCTTAACCAGCGTGGGAGTGGCACTGATTGATCTCTGTGATTTAAAGATTAAGTAAATGAGTGTATTTAGGCGGAAGAAGGTGGACTGCAAAGACTCAGTGATCCGTTATTGGCCATAAAACCCGGGCTGTCATGAAGTAGATAGATGAGTTTACTGCTTAAAGCTCATGCCACACACCGCCATAAGTCCCCCCAAAGACCATTATTATCACCACATGAATCAGTGTTTTGGTCGCAAATAATCTTAGGTTTGAAGTGTTGATCTGTGGTGAGAACAAACACCCTTTGGGAAGCCAGTCGTTTATGTCTGTTTACTTTTGTGCTATACCTGCTTACATTAGATGGCTAGATTAGATTGGTTACATTAGATGGTGTTTTTTTATGTTAACATATTTAAAATATTCCTCAAATTTGATTAATGTGCCTGGCTGGTCTCCAAATAAAGGATAGGTTTGGATATTTAAGGATTTTAATCTTAATCTTAATACAAATGATATTCACTCATCATATGTTCTTTAAGACAGAGTTATCAGTGGCTGTAATCCTTCCGTTGTTCTATACTTGGTGTGAATTGAAGCTGCAATGATTATTGAATCCGTTGATAATCTATCAATCGGTTTGAATAAAAAAAAAAAAAGGGTCAAAATTCTCTGATATCAGCTTCCTACAATTTTTTGACAGTAATCAGTGAATATCTTTAAATGGTGGACAAAACAAGACGTTTGGGACGTCATCTTGGGCTGTGAAACCCTGATTGACATTTTTCACCGTTTCCTGACATTTTATAGACCAAAGAACAACTGATTGATTTGTCAAGAAAATCATCAACAGATTAATCAATGAAAACAATCATTAATCGCAGCCTTACTGTGAAGTGACCTCCGTCTAACGTGACCACTGTAAGAAAAAAGGGGCTAAAATCCACCCTAAGATATATAGTTGACTGTTGTAGACGACTAAGAAAACCAGGCAATATTCACATTTTGGTAGCTTTTTAATCATGTTTGCTCAAAGTATTACTTGAACAATTAATCAATTATTAGAATAAGGTTAATTAATCTTATGGCAATTGACTATTTTAATAAGTAATTGCTCTAAAGGAGCAAGCAGCTTTGACCGGACTTCAAAAAATGAATTTTTGTCCCCCATCTTTTACAGCAGTTGCACTAATATGAGATCACTTTGAGGCCAGAATGAAGAGAAGGAATAATGAGGTCAACTCTCAGTACAAACTCTAGTGTTTGGAGTTAAAGTCCGGATAAAGGAAAAATATATATGTGTCCTGAGTTGGTCACACTAGAGAAAAATGCATCACTAACCACCCAGCCAAGTTTGAATGATTAAAAAATTACAAATTATATCAAAGTAGGTTTCAACATTGTCAAAAGTATGAGCGAAGAATGAATGAATGAACGAAGAATGAGCTGGACACACATTAGCAGCTAACTGAGTAGCACAAAGCACACACACCCCAACTAGGGGTGAGTCCATGTACACATGAGTGTTTGAGATCATAAACAGTTAGGAAAAATTAGTATACGAAAAAAATTTTTTTTTTTTTTTTTAGGGGGGAGGGGGTGATACTAATTGTTGACTAACTGTGATAGACTGTGTTACCTTCTCCAGTCTGGCGCTCCGAACCGTAGTTGGGAGACACTGGTTTTCTGTAGATTATCTTTACAACTTGGCTCGTTGCTGGTAACTAGCTCTAGGAGTCCGGACCAACTCTGCTTGAAGAATGAGGATGCAGAACTGACGTCCGTGCAGAAGCATATTTATTTCTCCTCTACAGCAGGAAAACATAACATAACATAACGCAGGGCCTTCTCACGGGGACTATGCTGTAACTGGAGCCTATCTAAACACTGTAAATAGACTGTAAACAGACTGCAACCACCCGTAGCATGAACAGTACTATTTTCATGGTGCATTCCTGTCCATACACTCTATACGCTGCTTTACTTCCCACAACATCTACTACATCAACCCCACATGGCCACCGTCTTAAAGCAAAGGGCTGGCCAGTAACAACTGTGATTATGACAAGAAATGGTGTGACCGAGTTTTGCAACAGGTCAGTAGCCTACGTGCTCCGTTTTATTAAAACAGCGCGTTGGTTAAATGGCCCGTTTGGTTGGTATTTGGATAACTGGGGCTTTACTGGTATAATGCAATAGCGTCACCCAGCGATGAAACCCGTGTACATGTTTACACGAAAAAAATTACCCACTCTGAACATTTAGAGATTTTTTTGTACACAAACTCACCCCTAACCTCAATGGTGAAGAACGAGTCACTGCGCAGGGACAGACCCTCGTTAGCAGCTAACAGCAGCTATGCACATGCCCACAGCACTGAGCAGTAACTGCCGACGGGCTGGGTAGGTGATTCAGGCTAATATCTGTGTTAATGGCGGCTGTTTTGTGTGTGCTTATATGATTTTGGAATTTAACAGAGTTGTTAATTCTTGTAATTATCAGACTGAAAGAGTGAAGAGCTTGTTGAACTTAGCAAACTTAGCGCTCATACACGGGGAAGACTGAGCTATGTGCTCTGACGCTAGTCTGGTCTAACTCAACAGTGCAGTACTGTATAGTTCAGTCTTTTCATATTTTTTGACATGTATCATGTGTTTTGAAAGAAA